AGGAAAGTGACAGAAAGGTTACTGAAAACGAAACAATTTTGATTGAAAAAATTAGTCGGAATTCTAGATAGAGCAATTACAAGACTTGAACAATGGAACTTTGTAAGTGAACAAGAGATTATGTCTGTCTACAGAATTAAAGAGAAAGTATTAGCACAAAAAATGAAGCAACTTAAACAACTTACATTGAAAGAAATGTTTAATAAGGTAAACAAATAAATATTAACTTTTTTTCGTAAATTTTGATGCCGTTTAGATCATAAATACTTCATTATTTCAAAAATCCCAATTTCATATTTTTAATTTTATAATTTATACATGTTATCTTACTAGATTTAAACTGATGATCTAATATCCGGAAAAATCCCAAATCTGGAATCGCTGAAGTGCCAACGAGTCCGGATTTCAGACTTTTTACTGTAGTATTTTAAAATGTAAATGTTCTGGAAATAGGCATGATTAAAGTGACAAGAGAATTGTGGCCACAAATGTGAATTTAAAAAAAAAAATGAAATTTAATCTGCCTCGACTGCCAAGTTTCATATTCATTATGAATTAGTGTTCTACGCAATCAGATTTATTCCTCTTCAGTATGCTTCAGTATGGATCTACTACATCTAAATTTGCTTTCATTGCATGATATATCCAGTCAAAAGTCTGGACGTCCATAATCTGGAATGGTCTATAATCTGAACCTCAAAGCTACAAACTTTCTGCGCATGCGTAAACGCATTAAAGTGTTTACACATGTGCAGAAGTTTGTATGCGTTTAAGCATGCGCATACTACGTTTACGCATGCACGTTTAATGTATAATGGATGGTATAAGCTAAGCTAAAATTACCTAATTATCTATTTCAATTAGTGTTGCTTTGTTTCTCTATCCATCCATTCCGAAATCTTTTTATAAATTTCACGCTGCTGACTGGAAGTTGATCTGTCAGCACTATCCTTATCTTCAGGGCAGATGTTTTTATTTTATTCGGCTTATAATTCCTTACTAAAGGATTTTATCTCGATGTACTCTCTTTGATATGATTTAAATCAATTTCCTCGTCGTTATGAATATCACGAATACACATCAAATAGTTTTCTGGTTGCAATTTTCTAATTTCGACTATGTGTAATGTATGCTTATGCATGCGCACGTTGAAAGAAATGTTTAATAAAGTAAACAAATAAATATTAAGCTTTTTTTTGTAAATTTTGATACCCTTTAGATCATAATTGCTCTTTATTTCATAAATTACGGTTTCATATTTTTTAATTTTATAATTTCTGCATTCCATCTTACCAGATTTAAACTGATGATCTATAATCTGGAAAAACCGTAATCAGAATCGCCAAAGTCCCAATGAGTCCGGATAAAGACGACTGTATATATATAATAGATATAAATATAGGGTGTCCGTAAAAGAATGTCCGAGTTTCAAATTGTAATAGTATCAGCTGTAATCGTTCGACAGTTGTGGTTGAAGGCGACGAATAAAGAATAACTCCAACAGTTTCAGATAAGCGCATGCGCTTGTACCCGCTACATCGTTTTCACAGTTGCAGCGTCATCTGTTTCAAAATGGCGACTTCTGAGCGTAAAGCGTTTTGTGTTCTACAATTTGCTAAGAGTGATTCGGTAATTGCCGTTCAACGTGCGTTCCGATTAAAGTTTAAATGTGATCCCCCATGTGACAGAAATATCCGCCGATGGTATCGACAATTCAAAACGACCGGATGTCTTTGTAAAGGTAAAAGCCCGGGAAAGACTCAAAGTTTCTGTAGAGAATGTGGAACGTGTCGAAGAATCTTTCCGTCCGTAGTCCGCAGAAATCTGTTCGGAAAAGCAAGTCATGAACTACAGTTGCCAAAGACGACAGTCTGGACGATTTTTTTTAAAAAAAAATTTACACTTGCGTCCATACCGATTACAGTTGGTACAGCAATTAAAGCCAAATGATTGTGCAGTACGATTTCGTTTTGCATGTGAAGTTCTTCAACGGCACAATGACTTTCTGCATCATGTGGTGTTCAGTGATGAGTCGACGTTTCATACAAGTAGGAAGGTAAATACCCATAATGTTCGTATATGGGGTTCAGAAAATCCTCATCAACTTGTACAACACGAAAGAGATTCTCCAAAAATAAACGTTTTCTGTGCTGTTTCACGACGACAAGTGTACGGACCATTTTTTTTCGCTGAAGCTACAGTAACAGGGGTTTCTTATCTGGATATGCTACAACAATGGCTCTTTCCCCAATTAGTAGAAAGTGAACCTGCAAACTTTATTTGGCAACAAGATGGAGCCCCTCCTCATTGGAGTCTCTTTGTGCGAGATTGGTTAAACGTCGAAAGACGACAGAGTTCTGTTACCCTGGCCGCCTCGTTCACCTGACATCACGTCTTCTGACTTCTTCCTTTGGAGGCTTCGTAAAAGATCGGGTCTACGTTCCACCCTTACCTCCACGATTTACCAACCTTGAAAGGTAGAATTGTACAGGCTGTTGCTTCCATTACTCCGGACTTGCTGCAGACAGTATGGGAAGAATTGAATTTTCGTTTGGATGTGTGCCGTATCACTAAAGGCGCACACATTGAGCACTTATAGGAAAAACTAGGTCAGTTTTCCTTCAATTTCATGTATGATTTGTTATATTTAGTATAAGATAAACTCCTGTAATATACCATTTAAAATTCGGACATTCTTTTACGGGCACCCAGTATAATGATGAATATTGATAGCATAAGTTCATGCTTGCAATTAGTGTAGTAGTAGAAGGTTACTCCACATTTAAATTATGAATTCAATTTAATAATCTTACAAAGTTTGAATATAAAGGGAAAGTAATATTCTAATAAAATCTGATATTTGAAAACCATTTTAATTCATTTTTTTATGAAGGAAATGTGGGATTTAATACAGCTGCATTTGTAATTAACGAAATGCTTGTTTGATTCATTTATAATACAAAGATTTAGAAATGCTAAAAATTTTCTTAGCTACCTGATTAAAAAGTAGTTAAGAACCAAAGGAATTTCTGAGGAGTTAGCAAACAAACCACTTGACTAAAACTCACATTTATTTAAGCTAAAAGTATTTTAAATTTACACTGCCTAATTTAAAAGCAAATTCATAAACAACTTGAACCCAAAACAACTGAGCATGGTAAAAATTACTAATACAAATTAGTTTGAGGAATTTTTTGTTTACTACATAAAAATTAAAATGAATTTCATAAAATTAGGCTTACATTGTGGGATGCCCAATGTTAAACTTAACAATATAGATGATTTTAAGTTTTTAAAAATCATATTTGTTACTATTTGCATTTACTGCAATTAATAACCATGTGTAGGGACCATGTATAGGGAGAAAGGGAGAGAGAGAGATTCAGGTATATAGAACTTTATTTATAGATATACGTGTAGATTAATAGAGAACAATTAAAAATCATAAATGTGCATATATATGAATATCAACGGCAGTCTTAAGGAATAACTATAACTGTTATGATACAATAAAATTCCAGTAGTCCATCATCTGATGGGTTCAGTACATCTTATAATCCAACATTTCCTTCACCAACATTCCCCATCGTAAGATGAAGCTAACAGTACTTAATGCGGCAAACAGTACTTAATGTTTGTAAAGGCTTGGAATTGCTTCATTTTGTTTTGTTTTCTTTATTTATTTAGAATGGCAAAAATGCCAAAAATGTTACCTCCCAGTCTGAGTTGCTGAAAATTGTTGAAAGTTTCCTTCAAACAGTAAATTAATTGTACCTTTTGTAACTTCAAGTTTGGAACGCTGATCTAGCAAAACTTTTAATTTTTCTTCTAAAAAAATTATCTTTAAAAAATTATATTTGCTGGCTATTAATTTTGATTTATGTTTTTTTTTTTTTTTATTAATGCTTTTAAAAATACTTAAAAGGACTGACTGAATAGAACAGCTTTCATGCGATAATTGAAAATGAAGATAAAAGGAAAAAATCCCTGTAGCTATACTGCAAAGTAAAAATATCTATTAAGAAAGTATTGTGTTTGGTACAGGGGGGGGGAAAGATGTTTAACAAGTTATTTGTATAAATCTTATGAAATCCTTTATAGAGTATTTCATAGCATATCATTTGTAAAGAAATATTAGATTACATCCTAAAAATAAATTTTTGTTTAAAAATTTCACTTTTCCTTATATCACAAAATATACTAGTGAGGCTGTGTCTGAAGTAAAATATATTATTCTTCAAAGTGTTAAATTAAAGAAAATATCCTTATATCTCATTGTTTCCTAATTCTAAAAGTAAATATAGTCATTTTTATATCACCATTTTTATCCAGATATATATATATATATATTAATTTGTGTGCAATTTGGATGTTTTAAGACAGATATTTATGAAAATATTGTGTGTATTAATAACAGAGGATGTTCAAATATAAATAGGAATTTTCACACTCTGATCTTGTAAAGAGCATAATGTAATCATATTTCATAGAGCAAACTTTGAAATGTTTGACCTGTTAATAGTAGTGCTAGTTTCTCTTTCTATCACCTCTGTTTGTTATAATCAACATATTGCTGGTGCAGAAAGTTCACAATAGTGTTGTACAGCAAATCTTCATCAGATTTTGTGCTGACATAAAGAGTCATTCCATCTCAGATTTATTCAAATATTTTAGACTTAAAAGTCGGTTTTAGCAGCATTGGACTTTCATCTTTTCAGTCCACTTAAAGAATTGTTTGAGGTAAGAAATTCCAGTCTGCTGAGCAAGATTGACATTTTGCAAGAATAGATCAACATGCAGTCAAAATCTTTTATTCTTCTAACAACTGCATCATAGTAGCCAGTGTCAGCATAGGAAAAAGACATGTAAGTCATTTGACTGTATTTCAGTACTTGAAAATTAAACTCGTAAATCCCTTTATATTTGAACATCCATTGCATAGAAAAGAGAAACATTTTTCAATTAAATTGTTACTGCATAAAATTATTTATGATTTTTAGGCAGGTGAATTAGCTGATTTAAAAGCTGACTTAGATGAGCTTAAAACTAAAAAACTTTCTACTGAATCTGCTCTAAAGCTATCTGAGGTATGTTATATTTGTTAAATGCTTTCTGTATTTGTTTAAAATATGGCTTAAATTTTAATTATGTAGTGTAATGTATATTAGTTCTGTAGGTTTTTATTATCATAAAAATCTGAAAAGCAGTATCATGTTTACTTCTTTGAATCTTTTAGAAATCTGGTCGAGGGCCTTTACATATTTTTAGAATGATTTCAATAAAGACTTTTAAAAAAGCAAATGTGTGGCAGTAAAAATTTCTGACAACAGCTTATTATTTAATATATGAGAAATATCATGTGCTACTTTTAAATGTATTCAAAATATGCGTAAACAAGCTGTGGATTGAAGGATATGTTTTCATGCTTTCCAAAGAGAAATATTCCTATTCCATAATTAAAAAAAAAAATTGTATTTAGCCTGGTATTAAAATGCCTAAGTGCAAAATAAGCAAGGGGAAAACCTCCAGTCATTACTTATACATTTCAAATGTCAGTATTATTTTGATAATATGCTTTTGTTTTGCCTGTATCAAATATATTTGTGAAATATTAAAAAATACATATATATCATTTACACTTTCTAAGTACTTGTCTGCTTCCTTTTTGTTATTTACGAATTGCATATACATTTACTTTTTTACTAATTGATCATGTATTTCCTCTTTTTAAGGAAAAAATACATAAGCTAGAAGTAGAAATGCAACAAAGGTAAGTTTCCAGTATTTTCTCTTTCAGTTGCGGGGTTTTGAATATTGATATTTTTTAAATTAATGATCGTATTTTTATAGAAACTAGGCAAAACTAGTCATATTTTTATATTTTAATTTATTTAAACTCTTTTTCTAGACCTGAAGCAGATGATGTAAGTCTATTACAACAAGAATTAGTCTCTGTGCAAAAGATGATGGATCAGTTAACTTTACAGAGAGAAGCTGAAAAAGATACTTTACAAAAGCAATGTAATAATCTGAAAGAAACATGTTTAAAGTAAATTCAATTTTCATTAATTTTAATGTCCTTAACAATTGTAATTATTAAAACTAATGCTGCCTATAATTTTATGTTTCATGTTTATGTAATAATATTATCTCTGTGTATTTATTTTTCTTTAGTGTATCTTTCATATATGTTCTACTCTTTCTTCCCATTTTTTTTTCCTTCTTGAGTTTTTCTTACATGATTTAAGGTAAGGTTGTATTTAATTATTTAAAAAAAATTACTTTATATATTGACAGCATAAACAGTGTAACTGTGACATGAATAATGCATGAAATTCTAAAGTTACAAAACTGCTGTGTATGATTGTTTCTTGGGATGAAAACTCGTTATTTGATCTGTTTAAATGTATGTGTAATTTAAATGGTGTTAACATCAAATAAATGTTAAATTTTCCCAATGCGTTTTTGTACAGTTTATTTCATTTTATGTTTTCATAGGCTAATCCCCCCCCCTTTTTTTTTTGATAGACTGCAAGAGAGAAAGACAGAACTAGAAGGTATCTTGAAATCATGTCCTAAAAAAGAAGAACTTGAAAGGTAGATATTATAATTCACATCAAAAAATATATTTGATATTCACATTATGATCATACAATCTAAATATATATTTGGTTTCCATTTAAGCCTACAAGAAAAGATATCACAAATGTCTATAACTATATCACAGTTACAAAAGGATGTCCAAGTCAAAGAAGTGGAGAAAAGTAAACTGTTAATCTCACTGGAAAAGGTAAATAGTATATAAATATTTAGTGTTGTATATAATTACATCTCTGAGTCTGCTTTTGCTTATGTTATACAAGGATTATCCTGAAAGTAAGTTTCTCACATCACCAAAAGATAGGATGATTCAAAAGGACTGAAATGCAAAGGCACAAGCCGGATAGTTTGTGGGTGTGGCTATCATATGTGGTAATTGTAATTTCCCAATTGTCTACATTAATGTTGTTGTAGTTCACAGAGATGTTGATTCTTATTTTTTTAACCAAGGTTCTGTGCTAAAATTTTGTTAACGTAGCACTGATCAAAATCCATCGTCAATTATATTTAGTATATGGACCAGATATGATGAGCAAGCAGATGTTCCGTCATTGGTGTCTGGATTTTTCCAAGGGTAGAGAAAAAGTCTATGCCGAAGAGAACTGTAGCCAGCCGTCCCTTTTTGACACTGCTTTTTGGAACAGGTGTGGCAGTGCATTCTGCATAATCCTTGATTTATGGTTATAGAACTCAGTAGCCATTTTCCATGGATATCACGAACTGTGGTGCATGAAATCATCATGAAACACCCTTTGTTACAGAAATTGTGCACCAGGTGGTTGTTTAAGAAATTTACATGTGAACAACAAATGAAACACGTAGTTTCAGTTCGATTTTTCTGCAGCAATTCCACTGTGAAGGTGATGAGCACCTCAACAGAATCATTATGGGTGATGAAACGTGTGTTACTTCAGAAACCAAGCAACAGTTGGTGCATTTGCATCACAATGCACCTTCATACTGGACTAAATTCAGGCAGACTGTATCTACACAGAAATTGATTTTCACTGTCTTTTGGGACAGGAAATTCATTTTGTTTTTTAACTTCTTTCTGACTATGGCTACAATGAGTGCTGAATTTTACTGTGCAACACTAGAGAACTTGTGACGAGCCATTCAGATTGAAAGGGGTTGGATGCTCAGTGTTGGTATTGTGTTGCTCTATGATAATGCTTGCCCACATATGGCAAATTCAACAAAAGTCTGCTGTAGAAGTTTAGCTATTATGTCTTTGATCATCCACCATGTAGATCCACCTTGATCTTGCTTCCAGTGACTGAGAAAATTTCTGTCCAGGTATCACTTTCCCATAGATGAAGATGTGCAAATAACTGTGACAAGCTGGCAACTTTTCCAGGCAGTAGACGTTTTGACACTGGAGTACAAATATTTATCTCACAATATGACAAGCATCATGATTCCAGTTCTTCTTGTGCTGAGAAGTAGCTGAAATATTGCTTTATCTTTTGCAATAAATCTTTTTGTGTTTTGTATCTTTTTATGGACCACCAGAAACTTACTTTCCGGATGACTCTCATGTGTAAAAATTTAACTTCAAATTAGAATTTCTAAGTTTTTGAAATGGTTAATAGTTTAGACCCCTTCCACAAGAAACTGTAGTCATGCAGAATTATATATGATAGAAAAGTATTCATATTGAGGAATATTATTAATTTTATTTTATGTTTATTAAAATACATTTATAATCTGGAAATCCGGCTTATATACCTTCTTCCCCAAAAATGCAGTTATGCTAATGCTTGGAGGACAAATATGTTGATTTATTCTATATAAATTTGTATTGCAATATAAAATGCTATGGGCATTCTGTTAACCTTCATGCCTCTTATAATTAATTTACATCTTCTGTTGTCTTGCATTGGCTGCACACTTTCAAGTTGTCATCCTTGGAATATGTTTGCTAGAATGTAGCTGATCTGGAACTGTCCTAATACTTATTTTTATTTGAACTATGTTATTGAATTATTATTAGATTATCAGTTATCAGGTATTTTCTCCCTCCTTTTCATGTGCCTTCATTGTGTAAATGGAAAGCAGTCTCCGCCAAAAACATTGTTGATGAAAATGTCGTGGGGAAAACAAAGCAAGGTGAAAACAAAGCAAAGAGGAAACATCACAATCCTAAAATATCATGGTACGAAACACCATCGCAAAAAATAAAGCAGTTCAGAAACTTTGCAGTTTAAACACATCATCAGTGACCTAAAAATCATCGAATAACAATGTTGCAGACATGCATTTTTCAGGCTTTAAAAGTTGTAAATGCATGTTAGCCTAATGATTTGTAAGTTGAAAAGGGATGAAGAATACTTTTACTTTTATATTTCATATTTCTAAATTAAGTAATAAATTTTTGCTGAATAAGTAAGAAAGATGTTGAAAAACTAAAAATGAATAGGGGGGAAATATTAGTTATAGCAGTTAATATAATTTTAAGCTAATATAATTAATAAAGAAAAGCAGTTGAATAATTAATCTTTTTATTAAGTTTTGGTAATTTTTCATGTAAAATATGATCTAAAAAAGATTAGAAGAAAAAGGAAGATGAATAAGTGCATGTGGTTACCTAATTATCAAATTCTATCAGCTGCTATAAGTAGCATTAGTTTTCTTCTCGTTTTCAGTTTCTGAATGGTTCAGTTTCCTTCTTAATTTGCCAGCAAAAATTTATTATTTAATTCAAAAATGTAAAAGCAAAAATAATTCTCATTCCTCCTTGTGCCCACAAATCATTATGTAAATATGCATTTATTATAAATTTTAAAGCCTGGAAAACGCATCTCTGCGATGATTTGTAGGTTACTCTATACTGGATATTTTTGACAATGATGTTTATAAACTGAAGTTTTTAAATAACATTATTTTCAATGATGATGTTTTGTACTATGATGTTTTAGAACTTAACTTCAATGTTTTCTCCTTTCTTTGTTTTTTCTCACGATGTTTTGTGTGACAGCATTTTTGTCTTGCGCCGTTTCCTCTGCGATATTTTCATTCACTATGCTTTTGTTGTGATGTTTTTTTCTCCTGTAAACATTTGAAACGTATTCGACGTGTATTCAAGAGGTTCAAGGTTCAAGTCCCAACGAGGGCATTGCACATTTTTCACATCTTCTGTTTCAATAAAACCTAATGCCTCTACAAGTGGCACCTGAGCTAACAGGTGGTGGACAATAATTTGTCACCTCCAGAATTTCCAGGTTCCCTAATCCCTAAGAGGGAGTATATAAGGTATTTTCTCCCTCCTTTCAGCATGTATTCGAGAAGTCCAGGTTCAAGTCCCGGCGAGGACACTGCACATTTTTCGCATCTCTTGTTTCAAAATAACCTAATGATTTTACAGGATGTGTGTGTATGGATATTTAATCATTGTATGTTTAAATTTCCTTTGTATGAAATGGAAGTAGTTGAATTTATTAAGGAAATATCAAAAATGAAACTGACTTTATTTCAATACCATTTGATTAATGGCCATTAAATACATACTTTATTCAGACGTACCTCTCATTCAATATAAATGAGAGATTTGCAGTTTGTGAGTGTTCTCTTATCAACCTGATTTGCTGTATATTTCTCCCAATTTTATCTTATTCTTAAAGTTTCTCATAATTATTATGTAAATTAGCATTATTTTTCATTATTGGCTTCCAGAAATATGATTTCTGCCATTAAAAATGCTGTTATATCAATGGTGACAATTGCTGTATGTGTAAAAGCAGATGAGTCTGAATCTAGAAATGTCATGTACAGTTTCATTAAATGAGACTGAACACTTGTCACATTTTTTTGATAAAATGCCTCATGTCTGGAAGTAGATTGCTTCTGCTTCTTAGCAAATCTAAAAGCATGTGATGCAAAATGCCCTAAAAATTAACACACAAGAACAAATGTTGTCTGAAACTTTCTGTGAAAAAAAGTTACCAAAAAGAAGGATGCAATGCTACTATGTAATTGCTCTGATGATGACACTGAAAAAAAGTAATCTTCATCTTCCTGTTGTCAATATATATATATATATCTACATATATAGTTTTCACACACCACACACACACACACCAAAACAAAAAAAAAAAAAAAAAAAAAAAAAAAAAAAAAATGCATCTCTCTTAAAAAAATCCAGAAAAGGTTCTGAGTTTGCTGCAGCACTCAGAAGAAGGCAGTGAGTTGTATTGTTGGCAATAGTTAGCTTTGCATCTATACTTTGCATGTGCTGCCTAAGACCTCGCACTAACTCTGCAGTTCTGTCCAGTTTTGAGGAAGAATATTGTAAGGGCAGTCTAAGGGTCTTTCCTTATTCCTATCACCTCCAAACCTAAGAAGACTTTCAGCTTATGATGTATTTTGTGTGCCTCTTTGCTGCACAGACATTTTACCATACAAACATGTATGTCTTTTCTGGATTCGAACCTGAGGTCATCGGTACAGCAGTCAGAGTCACCAACCACTATACCGGCTGGGCAGTTCAGTAAGGTGGTAGGTACAGATAGAAACTAGGCCAGCACTTCTGTAGTACCAAAGGTGATTAAGGTATTGCTGAACCTAGCTAAGTGTTAACCACTTAACTGTTTTGCCCAAACACCATTCAGGTACCATGAAAAGGGACTTTTTTTATTTGCCTGTGCACCACTCTGGCAGTGTATTTTCGTATACCAATCCACTGATTTTCCTGGCTTTTTCACATTTTCTTACTTTGCAGTGTTTCTAATAGATGTCTCTAATAGTAGTCCAGGTGAGATTGGATTGTAAGATCAATTCAAGGATTGGTTCTACTGTTTTTCAGTAGGCGAAGAAATTCAACGAGTTTGTTTGTACATGTTCAGTATATTAGGCTTTGTGAATAGTATTTCTTCCCAATTTTGTCATGAAATAAAAGAATGATGGGTGACAGTAGATGGCTCATAACAAAATATAATTCTGATATTGGATCAGATAGCAAATCTGAATTTTCTATAAATGGTTCTGGTAGTCCTTAAAGTTCTTTATCAGAATTCTCTTGTGATGATAAGGAAACTGAAAGCTCAGATGATCTAATTCAGTATCGGAATTTTTGTCAAATGGATACTAGTAATCCTCTTTCACAGCCACCGCAATTTCCTTTTGCAGTGAATACACTTCTTTTACATTAATCTCCTGTAAAGTGTTCTTTTCAGTTCTGAAGTGTCATTAGAAAAAAAAAAAATCCAACTTAAAGTAAAATAAAACTGCCTTAATTTTGCTGTAATTAAAAATTATCTTAAATTAATGCAATACTTTTAACAGTTTTGACTGATGATTTGAATTTATATAATCAATTAGCTTCATAAAATTGCTTCATAAATAAGTAATTCATAAAATTACTTATAAAAATATGCTTATTTTTGGTCATAATATGGCAGGAAAATGAAACAGGTAAAGCTTCTGCGTGAATTTTGAGAGAGAACGTCCCGAGCGTGTTGAGGATCTCCCACTCCTCTTTTCCTACCACCAACCTCTCAAGAAACTCTTTGTGTATTTTGAGTGCCTCTTTCCCACACAAACTCTCTATGCTAACAAGCATCCATATCTCCTCTGGATTTCGAACTCGGGCTCATCAGTATGACAGCCAGCATCACTAACTACTACACTGGATGGATGTCCTCAGTAAGGTGGCAGTTGTGCTCATTTTGAAAGTCGTGTTGCTGATGGAAAGATTATCTTTCTTTTGAAAAATTCAGAATAATAATTTTGTAATTCATGACTACTGTCACCTATATAGCATATTTTTGTCAACATGTACTTCTTACCTTTGAATTTAATTCACTAAATTAAAAAGACTCTGTATGTTCAAATCATTCATTTATTACATATTTTTTAAAAGTTATTTGGTGTTATCAAATATAATTATGTTGATCCTTGAACAGCATCATTATTATATTCATTTGTGATAATATGAATAAGAAAAAATTAACTTTAAATCTTTTATGAAATATATCATTTCCCCCCTTATATATAACACATTCTTTTTTTATTTTAAAATTAACATAAAAAATCTGCATGAATTACTTTAGTATTACATATATATGAATAAACTATGATACCAAATAAATTATGACTTATTGAGGCAAAAAAGGGATTTAAATATGATGCTTTGCTATATAAATTAGCAAAGCTTTTTATACCAATTATTTTCAATCTAAAATAATTGTGACTTATCATATGAAGTAGCTTTGTGTTTCTTTTAGAAACGAGAGTCATAAAATATCCCCTTATGTTTGTGATAATTTTTATTTTATGGGAAATATATTTTTATGAATATTGTAAAATATATTAATAAGGCATATTTTCCTTAAAATGCGTTTTCAATTTAAACAGTATGAAAATTATGATGAAATTAAGGCACAGTTATCAGAAACTCAAAGCAATCTGGCAGAAATGCAAAGATTATCATCTGAAAAGTATGTATAAGATATTATGAACTTTGCATTTAGTTAGATATTTTTAGTAGAATTATAATTTAAATTGTTTTAGTTTCCCGTGCAATGCAGTGCATGACGAGTTTTAAAATAAAACTATGTCAAAAAGTAAAAATACAAGAGCACATGCATTTAAAATTGAATAAAAGTTTATTTCTGTAATTGATATTTAATTTGAATAAATGTAATCGACTACTGTGTTAGCTATAACCGTAACTCTATGCTTTTTACTTTCCAGAAAATGCTAGAATTTTCTTGCACGGCCGATTTAAAAATTTATAAAAGCCGGAGAAAAACATTTCAGCTCAGTTGTTTAGATCAATGTTTCTCAACTGGATTTATTCCAAGGACCGGTAAAATATTTTGGTACGTTCTCGCGGACGGGGAAATTTAATAATTTAACCCATTGGCATGATTTTTTCATATAAATAAATACTAAACTAGTAAACTATTGTTATTGTAATGTAGGTGCTGTTGTAATATCAGTTGTCGGCCGATGACACTGGATTTTGGACAGTATTTTCGCGGACCATCAAATATGTCTTGTCGACTGGTTTAGATAACTGTTGTTGTTGATTGTAGTAAATTTGCGGTGAGATTAGCTTTCTCTGCTCTTTTAATTGCGTTCTATTTAATGCTTTAGTGGTTTAAAATATAGCTACTGATTATATTGCGTCATATTGCGATATTGTATGAAAATCTTTGAGGAAAAATCCCGTTTTGTTATATTTCTTGTGATAAGAATACATTTTATTAGCTTTTTATCTGACTTGTGCATTCAATCTATTACAAGCCTGTATGTGCACAACACTTTTTGGTGTGAGGAATGGGATTTGAATGAAAATAACAAGAGCGATGGAAGAGCAATTTAGACAGCTCATGTCTGCCTTTGCTGCGTATAAAGAAGACCAGAAAGCTGTCAAGATTCAGTTAGAGAAGAGATAAAAGCTGTTAAAGAAATGAAAGCAGGTCAACAATCAGTTAAAGAGAGATGAAAACTGGTCAAGAATCAGTGTTTTGTTATATTTCTTGTAATAAGAATAAATTTTATTAACTTTTTATCAGACTTGTGCATTCAGTCTGTTACGAGCCTGTATGCGCACAACACTTTTTGGTGTGAGGAGTGGGGTTTGAATGTCAATAACAAAAGCGATGGAAGAGCAATTAAGACAGCTCATGTCTGCCTTTGCTGCATATAAAGAAGACCAGAAAGCTGTCAAGATTCAGTTAGAGAAGAGATAAAAGCTGTTAAAGAAATGAAAACGGGTCAAGAATCAATTAAAGAGAGATAAAAACTTGTCAAGAAAATTAGAGCAGGTCAAGAAGATGTGAAAAGAGAAATGACCTGCATATAGAAAACAAATTTTAGGCTATGGAAGGCAGAATAGACATATTTGAAAATAAAGTTGGCCAAATTGAAGAAAAAGTTTCTTCTGGGAAAGCACAAATAGAAGAGAGAGTTTTGATCATGGAACAACAAATAGATTACAGCGTTTTCTTCTGTCAAAGAACAAATTGAAGGAAGAGTTTCTGCCCTTCAGAACAACAAATCAAACAATAAATTAATGACAGAGTTTTCAGCTGCTAAAGAAGTCAGTACTTTAAAGAAATTCATAGCGATGGCAGGGAGCAATTCGGATAGTTTTAAATTTTTACCCATGCCTGCTCTCCTTTACTGAGGCTATCCAGGTATGATGGGAAGGCCTCCTAACAAGTATATTAGACACAATTTTCTAGTGGCAGATGTGAATGGTTGGAATTCCCAAGCTAAGGCCTGTCATTTCGCCACTTCTTTGAGAACATACGCAGTGGATATCCTTCTGACTCTTCTCGAAAACAAAAAGCTAAATTTTGAAGCTCTGTCCGGCTCATTAAAGCTGCACTTCGGTGAAAAATGTTTGAAAAACTATGGCAGGCTTCAATTAACATCCCATCAACAGAAGCCCACTGAAACACTCCAGGAGCTTGCCACAGATGTTGAAAGGTTCACCTCGCTTTTACAGAGTGCCTGAGAGAAACAAGGGAAATCCTGTCTCTGCAGTACTTTATCCATGGCATCCGAGATCCTGAAATACAGAAAGCTCTGAGAATGGCTTTTAAAAAGGATTTAAAAAGTGCTCTAGCTCTAGTGTACATCATGAAATTCAAGGCAGCCCACCAAGCAACTCATAGATACAGCCACCCAGTCGCAGCTGCTGAAGCCCAGGAGCCAATGGATCAAGTCACTGCTCATCTAGACGATTTAACCAGACAACTCAATGCCTTAAGACTGAATATTAGTGACAAGAAACCTACCCTAAAGTGCTTTGGAACTGAGGTGCTGAAGGCCACATACAAAGAAACTGCAGAACACCCCAGGGCACAGATGTTAAGACCACTCCTATAAAGAAGAAGGGAATCTAATTAGCAGCCATCTTGCAATGCAGAGTTTGCCAAATAATGAAAAGCCCCAGTTTAAAGTGTTTCAGATTTATACTGTGGGTGGCGGCAGCAATGGACTTTTTTCAGAAGGGGACATATCAATGGAGTTCCTTGCAATATGACCATCGACACAGGAGTCAATGCTACCATCATTCGAAAAGATTTGGCTCAACAACTGACAGGTAATCTCATCTAGACGCCGCCCAGCGTTACCCTCCACATTGTGTCTGGTGATAAAATCGACATTGATGGAAAATTAAACGTTAACATCACGTTTGGAAGTGCCGCCTACCATCATCTGGCATATGTGGCGGAGACTACAGATCCTTGCATACTTGGATTGGACTTTCTAAGGAAATACAATTTTTCTTTGGACTTTAAAAATAACGACCTGCATTCTGCCTCTGAGGACATAACTCTGCTTGCAATTAATGGTGAAGAAGTTAAATCTGTCCAGAAAATCATAGCTCAAGATGATATCATAGTACCAGCAAGAACAGAATTCCTACTTCCTGCCTCAGCACTCGACGACCTATCAAGGACCGTTATCCAGCGAGAGTTAGCAGTGTAACTGACAAGGCGAGAGTTAAGAAAGCAGTGGTTGCAGCGTGTACTCCAGTTTGAAAGAAGCAATGACATCCCAGAATCCATGTCTTCAGAGAGCATTACATCAGAATTATTGCAGAATGTGCAATTCAACAATGAAGAAAGGAATGCTGCCGGACGTGTCATTCAAAATCTTCAAAATGTTTTCGTCCACTCATCTTCTGACGTATTTGGAACCAGTTTGACACAGCATAGAATCGACACCAGAGATCATTCACCAATCAAGCAACATCCAAGATGTCTACTGATTGCTAAACAAGAAGAGGTACGAACACTTTTAAAGTACATGCAAGATAGCGATGTCATCGAGCCTTCAGCAAATCCATGGGCATCTCCCATCGTCCTTGTCAGAAAGAAAGATGATTTGAGTAGATTTTGCATTGACTATCGTCCATTGAACAAAGTTGCAAAAAAGGACAACTACCCTCTTTCTAGAATTGACGACATTTTGGACGCTCTTTCAGGATGCAAGTGTGTTTTTGACACTTGATCTAAAGAGTGGATATTGGCAATGAAATACAATTTTTCCTTGGACCTCAAAATAACGAACTGCATTCTACCTCTGAGGACATAGCCCTATTCGAAATTAAAGATGAAAGAGTGAAATCTATCCACAAAATCATAGTTCAAGATGATAACACAATACCCACAAGAACTGAAATTTTACCTCCTGGATCCATAGCTGAAAATAGAAATTTCCGCTATGGCATCCTAAACTATCCCAAGAACTGTAATAGCCTGAAAGGAGTACTAGTAGCTTCTGCACTTGTCAACCTGTTGAGGACCGTTATCCCAGTGAGATTTGCCAATGTAGCTGAGAAGGCGAGAGTTATGAAGAAAGGTGAAGTGGCTGCAGAATGTACTCCAATAACCAGTGTAAAGAAACAGAAATATTCCATAATCTGTGTCTTTGGAGAGCGTTACATCAAAGTTATTGCAGAATGCACAATTAAGCAATGAAGAGAGGAATACTGCCGAATGTGTCATTCAAGAATTTCAGGATGTTTTCTCCCACTCATTGGCAGATGAGGGTCAAAACAGAGTGACACGACATAAAACCAATACCAGTGATCATTCATTCTCCAATCAAACAACATCCAAGACATGTACCAATTGCTAAACAGGAAGAGTTAGGAAAACTTCTAAGGAACATGCAAGAAAGCGATGTCATCGAGCTTTCAGCAAGTCCAACCACATCTCCCATCGTCCTCGCCAGAAAGAAAGACGGTTCAACCAGATTTTGTGTTGACTATTGCCGATTGAACGAAGTGACAAAAAAGGACAACTACCCTCTTCCTGGGATTGATGACATTCTGGACACTCTCGAAGCAAGTGGTTTTCGACACTTGATTTAAAAAGTGGATATTTTCAGGTAGAGATACACCATGATAACCGAGAAAAGATGCCATTTACTACCAGACAAGGACTTTGGCAGTTCAAGGTGATACCATTTAGACTGTGTAATGCACCGGCAACATTTTAACGCCTCATGGAGACTGTTTGTTTTTTGTTTGATGTAAATTATTTTCAGACAGGAAGTGACTTACCTCGGACATGTCATCACTGCTGAAAGTGTGTGTACGGATCCTGAAAAAGTGTCATCAGTTAAAGACTGGAAGCATCCCGAAAATGTCCATCAACTGAGAAGTTTCCTAGGGTTTTACACCTACTATAGGAGATTCATGAAGGACTTTTCTTCCATTGTAAGACCGCCTTCACTAGCTGACAGAGAGCAAGTGAAAGTTCCTGTGGACAAAATGTGAGGATGCATTTAACAACTTGAAGGAAGCTTTAACATCAGCTCTAGTCCTGATATATCCTCAGCTTGACAGACTATTTATTCTCAACACGGATGCCAGCGTTGAAAGTGTTGGTGTTGTATTGTCCCAAGAAATAAACAGCCAAGAATGTGTCGTGGCCTACTGAAGCAAGTGCCTGTCTAAACTGGAGAGGAATTATTGTGTCACTAGGAAAGAGTTGCTCTCCCTAGTCAAAGCCATAGAACATTTCCATCATTATCTATACGGCAGAAAACTCCTGCTTCACATGTATCATGCATCATTGACTTGACTTTTAAATTTCAAGAATCCTGAGAGTCAAATAGCTAAGTGGACACAGAAATTCCAGGAATATGACATCACTATCCATCCTTGTAAGGGATCATCACATGAAAGCGCCGACTACCTGTCTAGAAAACCTTGCCCAGAAAACTGCCGATATTGTTCTAGAATCAAAGTGAAATACAAGCTTCTTAATCCAGTCACACCTCAAATTACATCAAAATCGGCTGATCAAGACCCATGGAATGACAAAGAAGTCTGGAAAATCCAGCTGAAAAATGGCGACATTAAACCCATAATTGATTTAATAGAGTCCTCAAAAAGAAAACCTACCCGGCAGGACATTTTGAGCACGATGAGACGTTCGAGCACATTTCACGACAAAATAATATTGGGCTCTCTCAGACTCTCTCCATATTTGAAAGAGTGTCTTGTACCAGAAATTCGAATTGAATGATGGGAAGACTTTCTGATGGCAACTCATGCTTCCAAAATCCCAGATGTCCTTAAAGAACTACATAGCAGCCATACAGGAGGCCACTTTGCAATACTGAAGACCTTGCAGAGAGTTCGTGAGCACTTCTACTGGAGTAATGCAAAAGATGACATGCAAAAGTGGTGCTGATCTTGCAATGCCTGTGCAGGTCGGAAAGGAGTGAAGAAACACAGGCGAGGCAAGTTAAAATGTAGGAGTGCCTTTTGAGCATATCACCTTTGATATCTTGGGACCTCTGCCACGAACTGCTAATGGCAACAAATACATCCTCATTGTCATTGATTACTTCACCAAGTGCCCTAAAGTATATCCTACTTCTGATTAAGAGGCTGTCACATCAGCAGAGGTAATGAATACAGCACTGGATATCCAAGTTTGGAATGCCTCTTCAGTTACATTCTGATCAGGGAAGGAATTTTACCTCAGCTGTAATCAAAGAACTCTGCAAGCTACTTGGCATTGACAAAGACCAAACGGCACCGTTACATCTCCAGTTGGATGGCATGGTAGAGAGGTTTAATCAAAACATCCAACCTCTCGTTAGTGGTTTCCAGAAACCAACAGGACTGGGGCAAGAAGTTACCACTGTTTTTACTGGCTTACTGCAGTGCTGTCCATGAGACTACCGACTGTTCCTCAACCCAGATGCTCTTTGGCCGTAACCTTCTTCTGCCTTATGATCTCTTGTTTGGTCACCCTCCAGATGCACCTTCATTGCCTGAGGAATACATCCAAGATCTCCAGGCCTGGTTTGAAATGATGCACAATTTTGCAGGAGAGTGAGTCAAACTGGCAACGGAGAAGATGAAGACCCGATACAATATGAGAGCTACTGGACATCCATTCAATGAAGGAGACTGTGGTTGTGGAATCCGACTCGATGGAAAGGACTTTATCCTAAACTACAGTCACCTTGAGATGGTCCATATGCAGTCCTAAACAGGCTGAACGGTTTTGTGGTTTGGATCTGTAAGTCATTGAACTGTAAGCCTAAAGTCGTTCATTACGACAGGTTAGCTCCTTACTTCCTGTGTAGGGATTGTACTGCCTGGGACATGCAGTCCTTGGGAAGTGGTGAGTGTTACAAATTTTATATTTAGTTAGATATTTTTAGTAGAATTATAATTTGAATAATTTTATATTTCCCCGTGCAATGCAGCGCATGATGAGTTTTAAGAGAAAGCTATGCAGAAAAAGTGGAAATACAGTAGCACGTGCTGAAGGTGTGTGCACATTGAATAAAAGTTTATTTCTGTAATTAAAATTTAATTTGAATAAATGTAATTGACTACTGTAACTGTAGTTCTATGCTTTTTGCTTTTTAGAAATCGCTAAAATTTTCTTAAGTGGCCAAGTTAAAAAGCTATAAAAGCCGGAGAGAAAGATCTCAGCTCATTTGTTTAGATAAGTGTTGTTGATTATAGCAAATTCGCGGTGAGATCAGATTAGCTTTCTCTGCACTTTGGATTTCATTCTGTTTAATGTTTTAGTGGTTTAAAATATAGCTACTGCTTATATTCCATGATATTGTACGAATATCTTTTAGGAAAAATCCAGCATTTTCTTATATTTCTTGTGATAAGAATACATTTTATTAATTTTGTATTGGAGTTGTACATTCAATCTATTAGAAAAATGCACAAGCATTAATATTTTATGCATTCATTAAGTATGCAGCTTCTAACTTGATTTTTTTTTTTTTTAAATTTGTGTATTCTGGAATCTTGATTTTTATTTTCAAGGGATTCATTAATTATAAAGCTGAAAAATGAATTGAAAACAGTCAAAGAAAATGTAGAAGAAATGAAAGTTGGAAGAGAACAACTTTTTTCTAAAGTAAGTTATGGGACTTAACTACAGATTTGTTTTTCATCACCTACTCACTGTTATAATTTTATCTTTCTTTTAACTCCTATTCACCAGATGATAGAAATTGCATAGTATTACTCTCATCTTCTGTCAAAAATTATATTTATGTCTGCTGCCTTTCGTATTAGTTACTGAGTTGTTATAAATCAGTTACTAGAAATTATTTCAATGTAGTATGTAATTGCTATTAACCTTTTCCCGGGGGCTGGGACATATGTGTCCCATACTAAGAATACAGCAACTGGGGGCTCGTGACAGTTTGCCGTTGGTGGCAGGGGTAGGAATTTTAGCGCTTGAGGCTTGATGACTATTTTATGACACCCAGGAGAGTGCATTCTTTTGTGGGATTCCGCTAATGGATTAGGGAAAATTGTCCGTGTTTTAAACCCACATGGCTTGTTTGCAAATTCGGTATCTTCCAGGAAATATTTTGTTGAGAGGAGAAAATAAAAAGAACAGTTTGTTACTTCGATTCTCACGTGTTTGCTTTTCAGGTTTTTTCCTATACAAATACAGCTTGGAGGTCAAATATCAAAAAAATTTTATTTTCGGAAGCTCAGCTGCTAAAATTCTTCGGAAATTATTTTAAAACCTTGAATGTATTTAAAATTACATAATTTTTTCAGTTATTTCTAATTAAATTTTTTAAAATTTGGTTTCAATTTGAATTTGAAACTGTCTTCGTTTCATTCTTTTCATAAGTGTTTTTATCACTTTATTCCAATTTTTAGTATAAGGCAGTGTAGTAATATAAATGTTTCAGGTAATGAAAATTAATTTTAATGTTATTTCTAAATGATATGCATTCCACGACTGCCGCTTACTTGAGTGAAATTTTGGTTTGTTATGTTCTGAATAATAACTAGCGGTCGAGCGAATAATATTTCTTTAACTCTGATAATTTGACCTCGATTCAAATTCCAATGAACGGATTGACTGCATGAACATTTCTTGTTCTCTCACATATGTAAAGGGTGTATCAGCCAATTTCCTTTGAACGCCCTCCACGAAAGCCTCTTTTGCTTAGGTAGATAACTATTTAATTCAACAAATAAAAATAAAATTATATTCGAAACAAGAAAGCTAAACTTATGAGCATTTCATAACTATGTTTAGAAACTCTTCCTTTTATGGATCATTTTAATGACAAAATGAATTTTAATTGTGTGACAAATGAAATACGAATTTTTATTAAAGCAGTTATTATGGAACCTTTTCTAATTCAAAATTAAAAAAAGTTTCAAAATTTATTAATTTATCTTTTGTTATATGATTCGCATCTATAATGTCATATCTGTACAATTTGTTCAGAAATTAGATACCTTAGTTTAAGTTAATTGAATATGGGAAAGCACATGAAGGCTGCCTACCTAAAGGAAAGCATGCCTTTGTGGAGAACTTTTAGGAGAAATTGGCTCATATTCACGTTTCACATGGGGGAAACAATGAAAACCAACCATGCGGCCAGCTCGATCGCCTGACATCGAACCTGTGTCTAACTACCAGCATTCAACAGCCTTAACCTCTCAGTACTAACCTTGTAGTGTTCAGAAAGTAATTAATTTTACATGAGAATCATGTTTTGGAGGGAATCAAACAAGATATTGGAATACTAAGCATGTATACAGGAATTCAGATGTGTACTACTTTTTAGTTCCCTGAATTTAATTCGCAGTGCGAATCTTCATTAATATTCATTAACTCAGTACGAATCTTCACTCCCAGCTTCATTACTTCCATAGAAAGCAAGAGTAAATAGTTTGAGATCTGAAAATTTTGCATAACAGTTTGATACCTCAAAGGCAATTTTATCATTCTGAAAATGTAGATCATAAAAAACTGAAGAAATATTTCGCCATTCGACAAAGATGTTTACATTTTGAAATTTCAATGCGTTCTTATGCAATTTTGCATTCAAAGAAAAAATGGAGTAGCAATATAAATCATTGAACAACTGTTCCCTTTCTATTCTAAGGTAAAAGTAATATCTTATATCTCTAAGTGATAAAACTAAATTTTTGAATACATTAAAATTCAACAAAGATTTTATTTTCTAAAGCTCCAGGGTTTGCATCTGCATTTCTTTCTTGAACCAAAAACTATAAAGCGATTAAATAAATTAAACAGCTTATATCCCTTATGTAAAGGCAGATCAACTCTGGGACTGCTATTTTCAATGCCTCATGGAAAAAAAAAAAAAAAATTCTTGGCTCATGCATTGTAAATTTTTCTTAGTGCTGGTATTGTTCAATAATAATTTAGTGCAGTACAAACGCAGTGAGCAAATTCTATTTCTCCAGGAATGAATATTACCAGAGGTGTAAAAGTATTAATACTGATTTTGGAATCCGAAAATGCTTTTTAATGGCACTTGTAATAAATAAACTCTATTTAATTTGCTCTACAACATCAGAATAATAATAGTATTAAAAATGAAAATGCATATATTGTTTGAAGGAAATGTTTGAATATATTAAATCACTGAATTTTCGATACGATGACAAGTGAATATATTTAACACTGATTACTTCGCTAGTTTTTCAGAACATAATATAGGTAGCAAGTTTAAAAAACTATTTTAATCGTAAAATGAAACACTTTTTAGAATAAAATTTCTAGTTATAGCATACATTTCATTTGAAGGTAAAATAATACTTTTTTTTCCCTTGGGAAAACTGTATTCATCTACCTGCAGTGTGAAAGCGATTAGAGTATATCCCGCATTTTAATGCCTTGAGTGTGGGAACTAGATTGAAAGGAAATCCTGAGCGTTTGCCTGCCTGCCAACAAAAGGGCACTAATTACCCACTCGTTAAGGACTCGATTCGATAATTTTTCCCCCTTTCCATAACCGCTGAGCCAAGAGCCCCCAGTGAAGGTACACAACTGTTTTTCGAGCCTACAAGAAAAGGTTAAGGGATAGTTCTTATTGTTAAGTTGTAAAAATATGCTTAAAGAAAATTGTTATTTTTTCACATGCCTTATAAACACATGTCAAAGAAACGGATTACTAGTCAGGGGGAGAATGTTTAGGTTGCTAAATTTATGCTAATTTAAAACTGATAAACAATGATTATGCTCATGAACTGACAGTATTATTAAAGTAACTGAAAATCTCTAGGAATAATGTAACTATAAGAGTGGCCAATAATAACAAGTGCTTATTAATCTACTTTTTGACATGAGAGTAACAGCTTGTGGGGGGGGGAACTTTAAAATGTAAACTTTCAAAAGCCATATCTACCTGTATTTTGAAGAATATTTTAAGAATCTATTGATAAAATTGAAAAATCTAAATTGTATTGGTCATCTTTTTTGTATCAAAACTCATCATCAATAGCTTCAGTAAAAATTATGTTTGTGTTATTCGGGTAATTTTAAAGGTTATTTGTGTATTTTTGGTAAACGAAAACTGTTGCTGAACATATTAATTTAGTGCCATTAACAGATAAGCATGATATCAAAGCATGCAGATAGTGTTTGGGAGAAAGATGAATTCATTGACATGAAAGATCCTAATAGCCCCTGTATGCCACTGAATAAGTGGACATGCATTTCATGTGCACACCTGTTATTGATCAGCCATAACTCAAAGCCTAGCTTAGAAAGTAGCGTATGTTGCATAACATTTAGTCTTTGTATGTGTAATTTTGTATCACCTGCAGAATCAGAGAGTTTTTGCAAAGTGTGCACTGGTTTGACTATATATTGTAAAGATTTGTAGCTGAAATGGGTTTTGAGAATCACAAATGAAAGAATGAATGTTATGACATCAGGTTTTCAGATGAATCTCATATCTATATGTAGCACCATGATTTTTCATCTGTGTCTAATGGTATCAGAGAATTTTTGCAAGCTGCATGCTGGTTTGACTTGGCAAACATTTGGGGCTGAAATATTGTCTAGAACATTGCTGATTAGGGATGAATGTTATGATATTATATTTTCAAATAAAGTTCATATCTATATCTAGCACCATGATATTTGCATGTATGTTTAACCCCCTTCAAGCCGGGTAGCGAAAACGCGCGCTTATCGCGGAGGCCGACAGGGTCTTACGCAAGTGTCTCTCCAGGGCCGGGGGCTTTTTTGCTACTAAGCCTAATTCCATGAAATTTCCGAAGTATCAATGCATTGTTTAATAATGCTCTATAGAGTATTTAAACGGCTTATGCTTTATAAATATTTTTATATATATACTTTAATTACCTTATTTCTTGTTTAAATGCCATATTTTACACATTTTATTTTAATTACTCACCATTTTATGTTTTATGACTTTTAACATTATACATCTGAAAACTAAATATATTACGAAAATTCTCTTTTCGTATGAAAAATTTGAAAACAGGGATCCACACACAGTCCTATGTTACATTCCTTGCACTCGTAATAACTCATTTGCCGTTTTGGAGGATTTTTCCGGGAATGTGAACAAACGAAGCATCGTCGTCTCATTTTCTTATCAGTCTCTTCTGAACAAAGGTTTGGAAAATGTCTTTCAGTTAATCTTTCAGAATCAATATCTGAAATATTTTGCATCATTTCTGCTATTTCATACTCTGTTAAACATTTTCGACGCTTCAACATTGCAACAGTAAAAACAGAAAGAATTCACGTTTAACAAGATCTTATTATTTTCTAAAAAAAACTGAACTGCAAACCGAAATACTCAATGCTTTAGCACATATAAAACTTCTAATTACAATAAACAACTACCACATGCGAATAAAGTGCGATTTAAAGAGACGTCATAAATCATGCCATTCGGAAACATTTAGTTCCCCGTTTGTTTATATAATCAAAAACACATGTATGTGAGTCATGCTTCTCTCATTTCGAGTAGAAAGTCTAATGTACATGTATCTGAAACCATATGGACATACAGTGCCATCTTGTGGCAGAAATTATACTTTCTAAAACGTTCTAGGACACTGGCACAAATACGTGACAGTCGGTAGTAAACGGGAAAATTCTCTGTCACGCCTGCGTGTCGGCCGGGAAGTGAGTGTGTTTGTTGCTGGCACGTAGACGTGACAGTCGGCACGAAGGGGTTAATAGTATCACAGTGATAGATTGAACGAGTCTTGCATTATACATTGGTGTATATCAGTTTGGCTCCTATGCTTAAGTGTATATCAGAAAAACTTAATTACATCTGTGATATGCTGAAGTTTGTTGGATCTCTTATCTTCAAAGCTTGCCTGAGATCACAGAAAACAGTAACTGCTAGGCATTGCATGCCATATGCAGATGCCAGCAAGACAGTGGCATCTGCATATGGCATGCAGTGCGTAGCAGTTTCTGTTTTCTGCAATCTCAGGCAAGCTTTGAAGATAGCAGAGTGGCACCTGCATATGGCATGCAATGTCTAGCAGTTCCTGTGAGGCCATGTTTTTCATGTTTTCTTTTTCTTTTCTTCATTTCATGCATTTTCAGGACCTGTCAATTATTGAATAGATCTATATCATGACTGCATACTGATTAGCACATTTGCAGTAGATGAACAACATGCTGAAATTAGATGGTATCACATATTTTTAACATGTATCTTATATCTTTTCCTTTCTAGGTTGGATTGTATAACAGTACTTACTGCAGCCTATGATAGGTGCATAAAATACTGATTTCTTTCTATTCTACTTGTTAAAGTGAGCTGTTATAATCATCTTTTAAAAATTGTTTAGTTCGATTTTTTTCTTTTTTGAATAATAATCTGATCTGTTCATTCTTTAAACGTCCCAGACATCATTTATCTATAGTATTTTGTTTCACATTTGTATGTACTTTCCAAATGGTTACTTTTCTCTCTAAGTAAAGATAGCTGCGTGACTGATGTGGCTATAATTTTAATAACTTTCAGGGAATATTTCACTTTTAATAACCAGTGGTGTATATTTTATATAAAAATTCCATCAAACCTTCTTCATTTAATGTCAGTTAATCACTAAATTAAAAAAAAAAAAAAAAAAAAAAAAGCGATTGCAATATTTTTTTATGCTGATTGAAAAGTAGTCTTTTCAGTAATATGACTTTTTTTTTTTTTTTTTTTTTGCATATGACAGATAGAAGAAGGTGAAGGGGCCAATGCTGCTATGCTACAATTGAAAGAAGAAAATGTGAGATGATTTTGTTATTTCATTTCATATATCTTTTAAGTTTGAATAATATGACACTATATGTAATTTATATAGTAATTTTAAATTTCACAACCTTAATATCCTTTTGTTGTGTTAAATATATTTGATCTTTCATATAATCATCCATTTAAAAATGGATCTCACAAAAAGCATTTAGCTGCTTATAACTGATTATCATAAATTTATATCTGCCACTTGTGATTCAACTTTTGGTGCTGTTCTGTTATCGGTACCAGATTCAGAAATGTATGAAAGTATGTGCGTGCATATGTATATTTATGTATATGTATACACACACATACATTCGTGCTTACATATATGAAAATAAAGTAATTTTAAATACAGTAAAGTAATTGTAAATAAAATAAAGTAATTGCAAAAATTTCATACATAATTAAATGTATGAAAGTACATGCATGCATATGTGTGTATATGTATACACACACATACATTCGTGCTTACATGCATACACGAACACATACATCCATTCATACATATATACATACATTTGTAAATCTGATCCTAATAACAGAAAGTACCCAACTTTCCGGTAACATCAGTACCTTTCAAATAGTCACTTATGATACACAAATAAGGAATTTGGAAATAGATATTTAATTACTGTAAAATCTTTAAAGATTTTTATTTAATCTCTGTTCCAAATAAAAATAAAGTTGAAAAATAACAAACGGTATTTGAGAGTGTCTACTTAGTTATATATTTTTATATTTAAGGAAGGTGTGGGGGGGAAGTTTCACAAGTTCTAACATATGTAATTAGTTATCTTTCATTATATGGAAATAAATGTATTTTTTTTGTGCACATTATGAAATTATATTTTATTTCATTAAAAAGATCATTTCTGTTAATAAGATAATTTTATTTTACTTTTGCTGTTAGGCACGCCTTCAAGAACAGTTTTTACATCAACAAACTCTTTATGGTCAAATTGCTCATGAGACTGAAAGTAAAATGGGTGAACTTCGTTCATCACTGAAAATGGTTTGTAAATCTTTTGAATGTGCCATTCACTTCAGAATTAATGAGACTTAAAAATTTCATAATATTCCTTCATTTAAAAATCCCCAAACCTGGTGTTAAGACTTTTTATGAGTGAAAATGTCTCATTTAAGAAAAATGAGCCATTATTAAACCTATGTAATCTACTTTACCTTGAATAAGTTATTATGTATAATCAATGAGTTTGTAAACTTATGTCATTACTTGCTATAGAAAATAATATCATCGTGCACATGCTATCTTTAAACAAAATGTTACGAAGCATTTTACTGGGTTAAAATAGTTCTAACTACAATGATAAATTTTCATTTAAAAAAAAAAAAAATTGAAAATATCTTGATAGCAAAGGTTCAATTTACGTTATTAGATATTCATTTTACATTATAAGATTAAAATATTTTTTAATAAAATACTTTACTAGTTTCAATTTATGCTGCAAGATTAAAATATTCATTTTTTAATGAATTATTTATCTCTGCTTTCATTAAAATGAATAAAACTTTTATGTAATGCTCCTTTTTTCAGGTAGTATGTACTTGATATTTAGGAAATTTTTAAAAAACATGAATATTGCTGTAATTATTTCTTAATTGGGATATACCTCACTAAAAAAATCATAGTTACTGATTCTAGTATTAAGTAATAGCTGCTAGAAAAAGTTACCATTTAGTCTAGCACACTGCAAATCTTAATGTATTACTTCATTTCAGAAGTGTATATATTGATTTTAAGTATTATAAACCGAGTTAAGTCTACAGTAATCAGATTTAATGTAAAATCGTGGATCCCAGATGGCCTTTCTCCCTTCCTACAATAATAAAAAATACATCTGACAAGCTTAATGTACTTATTGGTAATATCTAGGAAAATTCAAGAAGAAAGTGAAGTAGATATTGAGTATGGTACAACATAAATAAAATAACCAAACTAACTATTCATGCATGTAATGCATGTCAAAAATTGTTTTGTACTCATGAGCATTTTGAGCAGTGTCATGAAAATTTGTAATTTGACAATTCTTATAACCCAGCTCAGATAAAATATGTATGCATTTTAACTACTTGCACTAAAAAGACGTGCCACGCATGTGGAGATGCTTTTGTCTCAAACCGCGAGTGACGTGAACACCACATCGATAGATAGGCATTTATCGCAAAAATGAAAATAACGTGGTGCACACGTCCCCTAACAACGAGATTGTTTATTTCTGGAGTTACAGTTCTGGATTGCACTCGCAGACGCGGGGCGGCGTAAATGAGACACTTTACCGCTTGTTATATTGTAGCGCACGGCACCGCAACCATGAAGTTTAGTCGTAGCGCAAGTGGTTAATCCCAGCATAGTAAATCACAATATTGGATATCTCCTTTTGTAATAAGGTGGATTTACACCATTTTAGATCATGTTTTCCCTTAATGTAATGATTTACATGGCATGTACCCACTAGTAGTACAGGGGTTGGTCAAAAAGCAGCTCCCAGGCCACAATTGGCTCACTAAGAGTTTTTTTTACGGGGGGGGGGCATGTTAAGAATAGTAAAAAGAAATCTGCTTTGAACTGAGATTTTCTTTTCATGAGCGACTGAAGACTCATCTCGTATTTTCCACTGAGATGGCCATGTCTATACGCGTGTATTAGATATATTATGCAGTGCTTTTCTGATAAATTTCAATTTGATTGAATGGTTTGATTAATTTAAATTTTGTCTTTAACAGTAAATATTTAAATTTCCAATTTTGATAAAACCATGACTCTGAAAAAATGTTAAAATCGATGATGAATGTCGTGTTTAATGAAGAATGGATAAAAAAATATTTCTTTCCTAATACAAGGAATAAAGCTGTATGTTTATTGAGTCATGAATCAGTAGCCATATTTAAAGAACAAAATCTGAAATGACACCATGGAAAAAAACATAGTGAATTTGGGAGCAATCGTTCCCTAGAAGAACACAAAATAAAAGCTGCAGACTGTATAAAAAGGTTGAAGAAGCTACGAGCATTTTTTACAAAGCAGTCAACACTTCATAATAGCGCTACAGAAGCACATTTCACGGTAGACTACAATCTGACTTAAAGCAGCAAGCCATTTTCAGATAATGAGTTTATTAAGCAGTGTATGGTAGAGTTTGCAAGTGTATTGTGTCCTGGCACAAGCAATTTTGAAAGCATTTCATTGTCAAGAAGGACTGTGGTGCAGTTCATTGACTCATTTCATGACAAACTCATAGAGCAGACTGCAAACAAGGATTATTTTCTTTGACCTGAGTGAGAGCACAGGTAAGAAAGACACTGCACAATTACTCGTCTTTATCCGTGAAATGAATTAAAACTTCATCCAGAGGAATTATTCAGCCTAGAATCATTGAAAGATAGAACCAATGGTCAGGATTTACTTTTGTGGATTGTGACTTGTATGGAGAAAAGTGGCTTGTCATGGAACAAATGTCAAGTATTACAACAGATTAGGCTAAAGCTTTCAGAAATGTAAGTATGAAGCTTTTGAAAATTAAATTACATGCACAAGACACAGACAATGATATCTTTACTTTTCATCCCATTTTGCACCAGGAGAGCCTTAGTAAAGCTGTAATGGACTTAAAGCATCTGGTAGATCTTATTGTTAGTGTGGTGAGCACAACCAAATCAAGGCCACACCACTACCAACAGTTTAGATCTTTCCTTGAGGACATGGTGTGTGAAGACGTAATTTACCACAACAGTAGGAGGTAATTGAACCTAAACAAAATGATCAGAAGAATCTAGGCATTGCATAATGTGAGTGTCTTATTTCTGGACAAGAAAAAGTTATCTCATGAATTTGTTAAAAAAAAATAAAATGTGAAGAGTGGAGTTATGACATGATGTTTGCATCTGATGTATTTGAGAAATTAAGTAGACTGAATGTGACACTGCAGGGAAAGGGGTTGTTTGCACATGAAATGTGGAAGCATGCAAAACCAAGTCTATTTGCAATGCAAGGAGGGGAAGGCAATTTTTGTCAGTTCCCTTTTTTAGGAAAATAGAAAGTGCCTGAAAGTGTCCCTGCTAAGATTAGAGATCATCTGCAGAGTTTGGAGGATGAAGACACAAGAAAATTTTAGAACTTTAAGAAAACTGAGCCGAAGTTCAATTTGTTCTTTTATCTCATCACCACTGATATTGACGTAGCACATGAGAACTGCTTTTCGAGCTTACTGACATACAGTCAGATCACACTAAATAGATTCATATAAATAACACTATATTTTTCCTTAAATTTAATTTTTTTTTAAATGTAAATTTTTTATTAACTTACCTTATATTTGGCTTTCCTCACATATCCAAGCTGAATAGAAAAGTTTCAGTGCAGGCATTTAAGAAATATATGTAATTTTTGGAGGACAAAAAGGCATGCTTTAAATAATGGTCAGTATTATCTGTAAATTATGATGCTTTTATTCAACATCAATAATATCTAATATTTTTTCAAAAATTTAATAATTTTTCTGGGTGTGATGGTATGCAGAGTCATACATTACATTCTTTACTATAATACATTGTTTCTTTTCTAATTTATTTTCCATCTGCACTCTTCTCAGATGAACACACTTTACATTCTCTTATTCTCTGGGTTTTCTTTTTTCTCTGTAGGTGGTATAAATTCTAAAAAATGGTGTTCAAATAAATGATGTCTAATAGTTCCAACCACATCTGTTTGATAAGTCAAAAAGATATCACATAATTCTGGTGAAGTATAATAATTATCTAAGGTGATGGAGTAGCCTTGTTTCAATAATGGCATCATCATAGTAACTTGTGAAGGTACCGATAGAGATTGGAATTAATCATGAAATAAAGTACCTTTCCTAGTACAGTAGAAGTCCAGAAATCCGCAAAGCCTGGAACCAGAGGTTGTGTGGATTTTAGGACTTTGTGGATTTCAGGACAGAAAAGATAAATCGTTATATTCAGACTAAAAGTGCAAAATAAATAAGGCGTATTAGATACATTTAATTAAGTTATTATATACATTATTGCAATAACTTATTATATGCATTAAATTATTATTACATATATAAATTGATTATATTATTCATTGTATTATCTCCTAATATAAATTTAGTGGAAGTATCAAAAAAGAGTGAACCCATGTAGGAAGTTTAATTCCAAAAGTATGTATACTTCTACTAAATTTATATTAGGAGATAATATAATCAATATTTTAGTAAATAAATTATTATTATCTTACTTTGCAGCTATTGCGCAAGTATTAGAAAATCTTGTTTTCGAACTAAGTGAATTTAAGATTCATTGTATTATATGTACACAGCATCGAGGTTTACCGATTTCGCCTCAGGCAAAGATTTCCAGTTTCTGATTCCGGTGTTAGAATCACTTTTGCTGTAAAATTTCAACAGCTTTTATTTATTTTTCCATATATCATACGCAATCGTGTCGCAATTCCATACGATTCTGCTATAAATCGAGGAGTAGCACCTGCCTCCATCTTTTGCAGAATTTGCACTTTTCGCATTACTGTCAATGCAATGTATTTACGTATTTCAACGTTGCAAGCAGCAAAATCATGAGTGTGTTTCTTATCTGTCATTGTATTAAAAAGGGCTGAAATTTAAAATATTCTTAATGTATCCACAAAATATCCAGATAAAAAAAAATGACAGCACTAAATAATCTCGTGAAGTAACAAAACTCAGAAAATACAACAACGGGAATCGTGAACTTGAAAGAAGAGTTGAGTGAATCGTCTGCTTTTTTACCTCGATGCAGATTAGAGGGGAAAAAACTTTTATAATGATGTCAATAATTTGGTATTTCCGTTATGACTCATTATTATTCGGTAATTATGATTTCATTATTCGGTAAGTACTTTTTCTTAGATATTTTGTACTCAATGTTGCGGTTTTCGAAACCTATAAACTGAATGTTTAATATTTTGAGAGGCAACACGGATTTCAGGAGTTGGCGGATTTGGGGTCAGTGGATATTTGGTATTTGACTGTATATATATAATAAATGATCATGTATAACCATTACTACATTCGCTTAGCATGTATGTTTTTATACCAAATTTTGTTTTTTTCAAGGATGTATATTGGCACCAGGATAAACTTCCTTTGAACAATGTCAAATTTTCATCTATGGTAATATCTCTTTCACGGGTAATTGTTGTTTAATATACTTTATGCAAATGCTCACATGTAGGCCAGATTTTGTAGAGTTTGATTTAGAGATTATGTAGGATTATTTTCTAAATCATGAGAATTATTGTTCACAAAAGTCAAGTATTTTTTATTTCACAGTGTCAATTATATGACATAATCTTGTGGAAAAAAGGAGTTTCCATTAATGTTTTCTTAGTCCAATGCATGCTTTCTTCAGGTTTTTTTATTATTTTTTTTTTTTTTTTTTTTTTTTTTTTTTTTTTTTTTTTTTTTTTTTTTTTTTTTTTTTTTTTTTTTTTTTTTTTTTTTTTTTATTATACCTTGTAAAATCGAAAGCGCAAGGAACAAATGCATTTCATGTGGTGATACAGGTTTCCATTCTCTTCTTCCTGTCGGTTTTCTTTTAGCAACAACATTACCTGGTTGCTCAGCATAACGATTAGTCTCTTTTACAATTATATCCACTGTTTCATCATTTATAAAATGTTCATATTATTGTAAAATGCCTGAACTGCCTTAAAATGAAATATTAATTTTAGGCAATGATTTGAACTGAAAACAAGGAGGACAAATATCTGGGACTCTGGCAAAATTTTGTTCTATTGGCGCCCTGGTAAAAGCTGTGAAGGACCATCAGTATTGTCACTGTCTTCAAATTCTGATACAGTTATATAATATTTTGAATCAGTTCCCAATTCTTCAACACTTAAATCCTCTTGTTCATTTGAGTTATGCATTTTACAAATATTAAACACGAAGAAATGGTCAGCAGGGAAACTGAATCCTTTCAAAACATGTTCTAACAGAATTTTTTTTCTAATTTGACTATACAGCAGTAGTATGCAGATACTACTGCTGTATAGTCAAATTACAGGTATTGTGCTGCCATCTTTGAATCTACATTGTAAATAAAATTGATATGGTTACAATAAAACCTAGAACTCCCATGGCCATTGTATTAAATGTGCAGCCCGTGTGAGATACAGGCATGACAAAATTTATTCAAAGTGATTGCCCGTATAACAGACTGATGCGACGACTCAAGGCCCGTCCACATGAGTATGCTTGCGACGTAGTTGATGCAACTCTTTTTTCGCCGGCGTAAATTTGCGTTACGCAGAAGACGTAAAACTGAGTTCACTCCTGTTCAGCTTTTACATCCGTAATATGAACGAACAGCCTATAGCCGACTGAGTTCTTATCACGTGTCATAATTGGAAAATCTTCTTCTTACCCGTTTCAATATGGCGTCAGAACCACACAGAGATGAGTTTTTGCTTAGAAATATTATAACTGTATACAGCAGTAAAATAATCAGCATTGTTCATGCCATCCTCAGATTTATCAAACCATATATATTGGTATAAATTTCAAATTCTCATTAAAGGGGAAAAGTATATATTTGTAAAGCAATGATTCGACCAGTATATCCATATGCTTCACCTGTTTATAACACCGTAAGTAATAGGAACCTAAATAAATTACAGTTTCTACAAAATCAAAGTTTCTGCCTTATAAAATTCTCCTTAATTATTATAAATATTCTCTATATCGTATGTAATAAAAAGCTCTATAAATATCCTAATATTAAGTACACCAAAAACTAACTTCAGCAATGTAACAACTTCTAAAATCAAGCAGTTGACTGTGAAAGAGTATTCAATAAAATACAATTACGAAATTTTGGGGAAAGTTACAACTTGGGTCATACGGCAATCATTTATTGAATATTAATTAAATTACCTTTGCAGTGACTTCTACTTGTTACATTATTTTTCACAAGCACCGCTATTACACATAGCTGAGTGGTCAGCGCGCTGCATTGCAAATGGAAAGGTGGCGAGTTCAAACCTCAACCGTAGGCAGTATATAATTCAGTTAGCTTTTCTTATTTTGAAACGTTTTTCTTATATTTAACCATGAATCGTTATATTCTTATTTTACCTATAATTATTATTGTTTTCATTTCTTATTTTATTCATTATTATTATTGTTTTTGATTTAGTTTAAAAATGTGCATTGCAAATAAAAACCCTCATGTAATGATATAGCTGCATCTCTTTATGATATATCATCTATAAATTATCTCTTTATTTTTACTTTATTGCATATTTTATCATGCACATAATTTCTCATAAACTGTCCAAAGTTTGAATCTCATTCTAAATTCAAAAATAAATAAAAAGAAAAACAAAAGACCAAGGGAGAGGGAGTTTAAAAAATATGAAGTTGATTTTATTATATTTTGGATGGTGTATATACAGAGAATTAAGTAATTTAATTTTCTTTATATACTGTATTCCAAACCAATTTTATAAATCCTAATTTTCATACAATATAGAATCTGCAAGTCTCTCAAACTGGTCGATAATCATCCTGAAGTAATTAAAAAACAAGTAATATATATAAAAAAAAATTAAGTCAATTCCTATTTAGATCAATAAAGGAAAAAAATACAAATAGAATTTTTTTAAATTAAAAATAAAAAAAAAATTTAACATGTGAAAAGCTGTATTAACATCAAGTGTCATCCACTACAAGTTTGAAAAATTGCATTTGAACTGGAGTGGATGAATAAAAAGTATTTTATTAACAACTGAAAATTTGAACAAGATATACGGAGAATGTGAGTTAATAGTAGGAATTTAATAATTCCGGATATTCATTTCGCAAACAAGGCAGTAAAGAAATGTTCAAAGAAAGTGCAAAGAGTACGCAGGCGTACTCTTTGAACAGGTCGCTCTAAATAAATCTTTCGGATCCATTCTCGCCATTTTTTTGCGGTTTTGCCTCTGCTTAATGAAGTAAAGTTTCAACTATCGAAAATCATCTGATTCGTACAACTTGCCGCAAACAAGATACAGCTCCGTTTGACGCTATATTACAGCGCCACGATATTTTTGCATAAAATAATTCTATTGGTTAAACGCACTCTTCGCAAACGTACTCATTTGGACGCTTTTTCGCTGGTAACGTAAACGCGTGTTCGTCAGCTACGTTGCGAGCGTACTCATTTGGACGGGCCTTCAGGAGTTAATGCTGTGCCAGTATCATTAACCCCTCAATGCAAAGTTTCTGAAATAAATGCATTGACAATTGACATTTATAAATCTCTGTATGCTGAAAAATAAAAATTTGGTTGGAAAATGTTCTCTGTATTTGGGTTTACATATATTTGTAAGCAAAGTGATGCTAAAGCAAAGTTTAAAGTTTAAAGAAATTAAACATTTAGCAGTAGTAGCAATGAAAGCTCCCTGAGATATACTGTGCAGACATTGAAGACAATGAAAGATTTTGAACTTAACCAATTTATTAACAATATAATAAAGAATAAAAACTCAAAAATAAATGTCAACAATATTAGCGTATTGGGAAAAATATAATATAATCATCATTCATCAAATATTTTTACCTGGTCTCCAAAACACTGGCATTCTATACAAACAAAAAAATGTCCTAAACAGTGAATATGCGGCCTAAAAAATAAAGCTGGCTACCCATTCAATAAGCCCATAATCAATGGTCAAGAAAAACACCTGAAAATTTAAATGAAGTTCTTGAAAACACTTAAAACCAGCCTAATTTCGTTTGCACAAGAAGTCGTCGCCGCTCACGTATTTTTAATTCCGCCTTCATTGAAGAAACATGGATGCCGCCCACGGCGGTCACTCACATGGTAGCCGAAGAACTTTATTCTGGAACCATCATCTCGCAAACCAGACCAATGCACTTTAATCACCGGACTGCATCCATTCTTCTGAAGGGGCTGGAAACCGCTCACTCAAATACCGGGAAAGCAGGAACTAGAAGGGTTGAGCCTGACTGACTGACTGACTGATAACTTATAGCCAGAATACCACTGAGATCAGTAGTTTATCTGGCTCAATCAAATTTATGCCGGATGGGCACAATAACATAGAACTATCTTCACATAATGTCCGCAGTAAGGAGGAAAAAGACGGATAAAGAATAGGAAGACCAGCAACGCAAGAGCTCACAAGCAAGTAACCGGCCCGGTAAAGGCGTGACTAAGTGGGAGTCATAAAATGAGTGTAGAATGTGAATAAAACTAGAGAATTTAAGAAATACACAGTACAATAAATGAGTAAAATACAAAATTAAGAATGCTAATAAACACATTGGGTACATCATTTACAGGTGAAGGGTTGAGCCAGAGCGACGCGAGATACTTATAGCAGAAGTAGGAATGACGTCATCTCACGGCAACCAATCAGCTATCGGCACGAATCGGCTTTTCAGATGACGTAACATCATGTTTCGTTTTTCCATCTCAATTAGGTTGAAACAGTCCGTTCTCAATGCAAACAGTGGCAGCAAGAAAAAGAAGTAGAAGTAACTACTATATTACATTAAAATAAGGACTAAACTAAATAAACATTTCAAGGAGGAGAGATGATGCAGTAAAAGGTTTAAAAATAAGCTATATTTTCCAACACAAAGTTTTTTTTGCTTGAAGATCACTGAGAGTATGCCCTTTGACCGATATTAACTTGCAAGCTGTGATGAGAATCTCAACAAGCAATCTCACATCTGATTTTTTTTATTTTTATGGTACAATTTATACCTTTTCTGAAATGCAAAGTTAACTAATAAATGCAATCATTTTAAAAGATGTGGCCCTCCACCAACCTCCACTTCTACAAACTGGACTCTGAGCCAGAACAGTGCCCATCCTTGCACTAGTAAATACATGGGATGCAAGGGCTTAATAGTCTGCTAAAATTAAACTTTAATGTAATTTCTTTATTTTACAAATTAGGAATGTAGAAAATTTAATAATTATTAATTATTAAAGTCATACAAAATTAATAAAATAAAATGCCTGTAAGGAATTAAAATTTAAAATCAAGTATTTTTAAAATGTTTTGAATTCATTCATCAAGGTATAATCTGCTCCGTGACTTGAGATTGATTACTTTTTTATCTGCATCCTAGTGTATTATATATTGACTTTAATTTGTTTAGTTTATTTAATTTTTGAAGTCTTGTTTTACAGGGTTCGTACGGTCCTTAAAAGTCCTTAAAAATTCTTAATTTTTTCAAAAATGATTTTTGGTCCTTAAAAGTCCTTAATTTTGACCAAAATGAATAAACGGTCCTTAATTTTGCTCATTTGACATTTCTTATCATTTCTAATGATTGCTATTCTATGTGTGAATTGCAATTTCTCATGAATATGGAATTAAAATTATTAACCAATCTGTTGGCAAATTTGCGTAGCAAACGATAAAAAAAAAAAAAAAAAAAAAAAAAAAAAAAAAACAATTATCTACCCGAACGAAAGTATCGGTGTCTGATTGGCTATTCACCCAATCTTTCGAAACAGGTGTTATGCATAAATTTAGGCAGATTGTGGCGAAAGTGTGAAGCCAGAAGTTCCTTAAGAGGCGAAAGTGATGATGAAAGTGCTCGAGAAAAAAAAAGGGGGGGATTCTGAAAATATTTGCCAAAATTAGAGCAATTCCAACTTGGAAGGCCACAATCCTTCCGACGCCGATAGGTACGAGATGCCTGGAAAGTGCATTTTCAATAAACTGTGGCTTCATCAAGCTGACTACAAAGACTGGATATTGATGGATGACAATCCTTATAAAGCTAAATGTGGTCTTTGTCTGAAACAAATTGAAATTTCTAGAATGGGAGAGTCAGCGCTGAAAATTCACATGAAAATTAAGTTTCGTTTTATCATTTCAATTTGTTTTTACACGGTTTTGCTTAGCTTAATTTCTGTGTTTGTTTCAATTAAGCCATAAATTAATTTTTTATCACCTTCTACGGAGTTTATTCTCTTTTGCACATACTATATGTATGGGATATCGGGATTATGAGTTTATTTCTGCAGAGGGTCTGTTATCGATTTCGCGGGAAATCTGTTGGCTCCATTTCGATTTTAGGTCGCCAAGGGCAAATTCGGTAACGCTAGCCGAGAAAAAGTGAAGTTCGGAAATACGTTTTGAAGCTTCAATAGACAATTAAGTATTTGGTTTAATCCTATGCTGTTGATAGTAATGCATTATTTTTGCTAATGGCGATACAATTATTAGTTGAAAACAACTAACTAATTAAAAAAATTTTTAATATTTTTAAAGCTGAAAACAACTAATTGAAACTAATTTTCCTGAATTAACTAGACGCAAAATTAACTTTCATGAATTACTAAAAAGTTATTGGGTAGAAGTTTAACTGAAAATATACATTCCGATATATATATATATATATATATATATATATATATATATATATATACAGTACGAAGTCCGAGGTCGGGACTTCGGCGATCCCAGATTTGAGATTTTTCCGGATATTAGATCATTTTAAATCTACTAAGATGGCACGTAGAAATTATAAAATTGAAAATATGAAATCGTGATTTATGAAATAATGAAGCATTTATGATTTAAAGGGTATCA